GAGTCTCTTGCCTCAGCCTCCCAAGTAGCTGGGACCACAGGCGCCCGCCACAACGCCCGGCTATTTTTTGGTTGCAGCCATCATTGTTGCTTGGCGGGCCTGGGCTGGGGATTCGAGCCCGCCACCTTAGGTGTATGTGGCTGGCGCCTTAGCCGCTTAAGCCACAGGCGCCGAGCCAAGAATTAAAGATTTTATTTAAGATTATAACTTTCTTTCCATTTCAACATATGAACTGCCTAGAATAGTGCCCCACAAATACTGTGTGTTGGCTACTATTGTTTTCATCAATTACATTATCATTTTAGATGGTTACAGGATAATTTATTTATAACTTACTTTACTTGTTGTCCATTCTCTATCAATGGACAACAAATTTATTTCCAATTTTTCCCTATTATAAGATAAACAATCTTTGTATTTTTTAGATTGAATTCCTAACAATAGAACTGTTAGATAAGTGGATAAGCAAATTTAAAATGTGACATATATTCAAAAACTTCCTTCAGAAAAATTAAATCAATTTATACCCCAGGCAAAGGGTTGGAGAGTGATTTCTCTCTACATCTTTCTCTGCATATTATTAATGACCTTTCACATCTCTGACAAACTAATAACCAACCATTTTTCCTTATTATTGCTTTAGATTGATTTAATTTAAAATTTTTTATAGTTACTAGGGAAAATAAACTATGTGTATTAAATACTCTTATTGCCATTTGAATTTTTTTCTTGAAGGAACTGCCTGTGATAATCCCAGGCCTACTTTTCTGTTAGATCCTCTTTATTTTCCTAGTAATTCATAAGAGTTCTTTTGTTTGTCCTATGCATCACGAGGACTAGTCTCATAGTCACTCAGGACTACGTACCCTATTTTCTGCTACAGTTGGTTATGCTTGCTTTCACTGTTGCTTTGTAACTTTATAGAACAAAGCTTTTAAAATTGAATACTGTAAGGGCCATTTTTCACTTCATGATTTGTGGCTTGACTATCCTGTTCTGAAAGTTTTTCTTCCTCTAAGCAAATCTTATTTACTGTATTTTGCTGTGTAAAATGTGCTCCTGTGTATAATGTACACCCACATTTTTAGCCCAAAATTTCAGAAAAATGCTCACTGAGAAAGTGGCCAGCTCTTAGATGGGAGAGCCATGTCTGGGAAGATTAACACTCCCCTGGTAAACATGCAGATCACACTGTCCTGGGGCTGCCTGCTCTGTGTACCCCGCCCTATCCCTCTCTCCCAAACGCCCCTCTCTCCCTGCCATCTCCAGGCACAGCTAAGATGGCCGTGTATGTTGCGGATAGGGCAGGAGCTTCTGAGGCCACTCAGCCCAAGGGCAGCCAGGTGGGTCCTTGGGGCCTGTGCAGGGCTTCTAGTCTCCTCTATGCTTTCAGACCTTGGGCCTCAGCCCTCCCCACGACTGGGACCTGTGTCATAAGCCTGGCCACCACCCTCTCCCTTGACTGTGGCACTCAGCAGAGGCTGCTATGGCCTGCTCCCACTGGATCCCAATCCTAACCTGGAACCTGGTGAGCCCGGCAGGTCCAGCAGGAAGGGCATGGTAGCCCCATGAGGCTGGCTGGGCTCCCCACTCCTGAGCCATACTACCCATATATTAATACACATCCTTATTTTTCCCTGGAAAATTAGGACTAAAAAGTGTGCATTATGCACAGCAAAATACAGTAGCTACAGTATGTGCCAGTATCTTTAAGACTTTACTTATTAACACATTTGGAACTTAATTGGGTGTACAGTGTTCAATGATTTTACTTTTTTCCAAATAGTTGTTCATATTCTTTTCTCTCAGATTTGAAATGTTACCTTTACCTTACACTAAATGCTCATGCATAATTAGGTTTATTACTGTTTGTTCACTGATCTGTCTATTTTGTCTAATACCTTACAATACTTCACCACTTTTATGATCTGAGGTAAAAGTCAAAGGACTATCAGGTGTTTCTGTATAATGAAAACATATCAAAGGAAAAGTTTTGTGGAAAAAGGAAAATTTGCATATTGAAAAGGAGACTGTCAGTAATTTGTTTTCATTTCTTTACTGACTGTATTTTTAAAAGTATATAGTTTTAAAGTATTATAACTATACACACCCCATGCCACTTTTTAACTTAGGAACTTTCTGTATGTGGTATACTATGCTGTACACTGGTATTTTTCACTTCCTTATGCTGCGAAAATACAATGCTGAGAAAAGCACTGGGACTTGTGCTATATACTGAACAGTCATTTACAAAGTGAGCTTTATTGTATACTTCAGAGTACATTAATGTTTCGAAGTGAAAAGCAAAATTTGATTTCCTTCTTTTCTGTCAATATTTTTAAAAAAACATATAACACAGGAGCCTGTAGTCCCAGCTACTTAAGAGGCTGAGGCAAGAGAATCACTAAAGCCCAAGAGTTTGAGTTGCTGTGAGCTGTGACACCATGGCACCCTACCAAGGGTGACAAAGTAAGACTCTGTCTCAAAAAAAAAAAAAAAAAAAAAAAAACCTTAATATAATTTTTGATACAATGGAGACCAAAACTGTCTTCTATTCTATTAAGATAGTTTTACTATACTTAGAAAAGTACATATTTAGGGTGAATGTAATAGGGTTACTGAAAGACTGAATACAATTAGTCTTCTGATATCTAAGCAACTTAAGAGCAAATACATCATACTACCAATTAGTTTCCAAAATAAACCAATACCAAAACTATCCAATCATCTTCTTACCTACGGAGCTGCCTCCCTCCTCAGCAGCAGCTCTAAGGAAGAAATAATCATCCACTTTTCCAGATGAGCCAGATGTGGAAGGAGGCAGTGAAAGGGGAGGAGGAATGAAGAACACACCAACTTCCACGGCAGGCCCTAAGTAAATAGGGGAGGTTTAAGGAAGCACTGCCCTGGAGGAGCCATGGCCATGGAGGGCCATAGAGCAGAGCCCATGCAAATGCTGGACACCACGGGAAAATGAAAACAAATACACATACAAATACACACACATACACACACGCATGCACGCACTCAATCTCTTTATAACTAAAATCTATAAATTAATGTTGGTAAAATCTCTGATAATTTAAAATAAATGGTATTAAGATAAAGGAGAATTTTTTGCTATTTCCAACTTTTTTTATGTTAATATTTTATTTAAACCCGTACAAGCACCATGCTTACAAAATAAACTTGCAATCTGAACTAGCAGACACTGAAATCACAGTTTAAGAAGTTGTGCCAGTTGTTGGTTTTGATAAATGATGACAGAGAACTGTTAAAATCCATAAGGTTTCAAGTGTCCTGAATGAGACTATATTAGACCATCTAAATCAGTGGGAACTGCCCAAGCATATTCAAGTAATTATATGTGTATGAATTATTATTACAAAAAGCAAGCAAATACAGATCCTATCATAAGCTTAATGTATTTATTTTAAACATTACAGGAATATGATTATCATAAATATCAAATAGCAATAAGACAAATTTCTCTAAGAATATTCAATTTGGGACCTTTGGTTTTAAGTTGCATAGAAGATTATTTATTATATTCTTCCAGAAATAAAAAATAAGACTTGTCTAGAAGTGTTTGAATTATGCCTCATATAAGTTACAAAAGCTCAAACTTAATAGATTCAAGTATGATGAGTCTAATGAACACATAGGGAAAGTAACCATACTAAGAATACTTAAACTGAATTACTAGTCTACTTTCACCAAATATCAGCATTTATACTTTTGTGAAAACATATATTCATCATTAGCCCACATATGGATTAATGACATTGCTTGGATTTTTAAAAAGTCCAAACATTTTTTAACAATGCCTTACTTAATATCTATATGAATGGGATCAAACATTCCTAAGTATCCTGAGAAAACAGAAAACTGTTTATAAGCCCAGCCAACAGCAAGATCCCATCTCTATGAAAAATAAAAAAAAAAAATTAGCCAGGCATATGCCTATAGTCAGAGCTACTGGGAGGCTGAGGCAGGAGAATCACTTAAGCGCAGGAGTTTGAGGTTACTATGAACTATGATGACACCACTGCACTTTTCCTTGGGTGACAGAGTTAGATTCTGTCCCAAAAGAGAGAGAGAGAAAAGACAAAAAGGAGGGAGGGAGAGAGGGAAGAAAGGAAGAGAAAGAAGGGAGGGAGGGAGAAGGATAAGGAAAAGAAAAAAGAAAAAAGTATTGTTTATGCATTCCTAATGCATTGAGTATCTAAACATTGTGGCAAAAGGACAGTAAGAGCACCACAGAGACAATGTAACCAATATAAATGCATTATTCCACATGACAAAAATGCCCCCAAATAATATATTTATAAAACACAGTAAAATAATTGCCAAATTCAACATTTATTTTCATTGTCATTTAATTGTCAGAATAAAATGACAATGAAAATAATCTTATTTCCCTTTTGACACTACATAAAAAGGTAAATTTAAGGGGGAAAAGAAAAAGCAGTAAACTTTTCATCAATCTCTCACCCTTAATTTCTTTTAGAAATAATCTCTGGACAACAACTTCAATTTACCTGCCCTCTTTTCCCAACTCCCCACCTTCTTTCCCAAATTCCAACTTTATAACTTAAGATATAAATATTACATTTGTTACCATTCATACCTCAATGATTACAGATGCTATCGGCCGAAAAGGATTCATTGGTTCTGGGTCCAACTCAGCCAGATCACCAGTTCCATCGAGTTCAGCTTCCTCTCCTTCTTTTTGTTTTCTATTGTTGGGAGAAAAAAAATGAAATTCCTTTTGACAAAGTGTTGAGCCATGTTTTTAAAAATGTGCCATAGGTTTAAGGCTATTAAACTAAGTAAACATCTAGACATGGCATTGAATTACTGAGAGTATTTCAGAAATCCTCATGTAGGCACTAGGCCTCTACCTCCATATAAGGATTAATCATTTGTATTTTAAAAAAAAGAAGTCCTGACAAAAGTGACATTTTCTATAGTTGACTTCTTAATGTCAATGGTGCAAATGAATTATTTTTCATGTGCCAAGAGTGTATATTAATTTATTAATTACCTTCCAAAAAATCGATGCTGTCTATTTACTAGTGTTAGCAAATAAGTCTTCTTGTTAACACTCTTCTTAAGGGTATGTCTTAAAATAAAACTAGGAAAACATTTTTGAACCTATGCTTTTACTTTTGCGCAAACATGTTTCTTATTTATTATACAGAAATAAAAGAACAGGACTGTAGGGAACGCCAAGAGCCAGATGATATCTGAACAAGATGATCTGCGGCTGAGGGGTGGACCTCGGGCCATTCGTCCCTAGGTGTTCCTTGTGAAAAAAGAGCCCGAGCCTTCAGCACGTAGTCATTGTGAATTACTCCCCTCACCCGATTTGTTCTGTCTCAATGAAAGGCTAGTGCGGAGGTTACTCAGGGCTACCCTGCAAAGAACGGCTAACCTGCCTCCCTCAAGCTTGCACTTCTAATCCTTGGCATGCCAGGCTCCTTCCTGAGATGATAGAGACCAGGTCCATAGGGGCCCGATGGGTCACGACACAAGACATCTATAAAATGATTCTCTAGAAGTATATGACAAAGCAATTATAAAAAAATTATATATTTTATTAAGTTGTATATAATATTTGAAAAATTAGATAACAACTATTGCTTTGCATAATACTGTAAGGGGCTATAAAGATAACTTGGCCATAAACATTCAGATTAAATAATTCCATATTATTAATAGTTACCATTAAAACAGTTACTATCTCTATGATTTATGGTTAATGTTGTTGTATACATGAAGAGTTATTAAGTTGCTAAAACAGGCAGCCAAAGAAAGAAATGAGTACTGTGGATCTTCAACTTCACTATAAGTATAAGCAATATGGTTGTTCATTGACATGACATCAATTAACTGTGCTCTGGATAGAAATATATATTCTTTTATTCTGCACCCAGGAAGCCAGCATTTTGAGAGTTGTAACTTACTACCTCTGTGACTTTGGACCTGGATCATTGAGCCTCAGCTTTCCCTACCTCATTAAGACTGTTTCAAGGATCGGATAAAATAATGTATGTGAGAATACTCCATAAATGAACCGGCTCAAAGGACAGTCACTGTTATTGATGTTGTTCATTTATTAGTAAGCAGTTTCAGGTATAAAGTATTAATAACTTGCTGTCACAAAGCATATGACAAGTGTTTGCAAAAACACTGGAAATGATTATCTAAACCAATTGTATCAGATTTTGCAAAATAAAAAGGTTGTTTTTAATTACTCTTCTCTGAATACCAATTTACTTTTTATTACAGAATATCAGCTCAACAGGAGAGGTCTGAGATCACAAATGGCATGGCTAAGGAGAAAAGGAGAATGAGTATTAGAAAAGCCTACCATACACGATCTAGAATATCACTGTGGAAAACACAAAAACTTTTTTAAAATTACTAACATGAAATTTCTTGTATCTAACTCATTTTTTTGTAGTTGCTTCTTTTTTTCTAGTGTAGAAAAAGCAAAGGAGTTTTCAGAAAAGCATGGCTATATATTTAATATTTATAAATATGTAAAATGTATACTTACATGAATGATCAGTTATAGTAAGCTTTAGCATTATAAATCATAAAAATATACACTAGATTGAAAACCATAGACTCTCCAAAACCTCCTATCAGCAGATGCCAAAACTATTCACCCCATTCTTTCTTTGATATAGAGGCCTACTTGAAAGACACTCCTATTATTGAGCACTAAGGGATAAAGAGTTATTTCTATAAATATAGTTCTTTCCTGTAAATCCTACTTCTGAAAAATACCAGTTCTCAGAGGATTTCTCCCACAGTATAAGGAAGCACCTCACAAAGGGATCACCAAGGGTAGGGGGTTCTTGCCTGCTGGGTGGCAACTCTGTGAAGTCACATGGAAGGCCAATATTACTCAGGCAGATGACAGGCAACTTGGGATCAGATTTTGCTTGAGTTGAATGACTCTCTAACCTTCCATGTTTGCTGAGATTAAAGAGGTTCCTCATGCTCAACACTATTGACGTATTGAGCCTGACAATTCTTTGCTGTGAGAGACTGTCCGGTGCACTATGGATGTTTAACAACAGCCCTGTCCTCTGCTCAACAGATGCCAGAGGCACTCTACCCCTCCCCACAGCTGTAAACTGTAAATCACTCTGTACATTGAGAACCACTGTTCTAATGGCACCCATAGGAAATAAGACATAAATATTTCAAACTCTTAGAAATAATGTACATAAGAGTACATTTAACTACTGTAATGCCAGCAGAAAAATTAGAAGGCAATTAAAATTGCATAGAGACAGTTCCATAGCAATAGAAAATGTACTGAATGTCTTTCTTCATACAGAAAGAGGAAATGGAATAGACAAAACTAGCAAATCATTCATAAAACTGTCTTGTTTCTGGCTCTTTAAATGCACTGTGGGAGAAAGTTACCTCTACTTACCTTTCTTCTTGCAATTTTCGCACTCGTTCAGCCCTTTCTCGTTTCTCTTGTTCCTCAAGAGCACGCTGTTCTATTGTATCTTTCTGGATGCGCTCATTTAAAGCCTCAAAGTCTCTTGCAATAATATGTAGTAACCAATAAAGACCCTTCTTAATGGACTTGTCAATTTTCTTTCCATATCCCAAGATTGCTGAACAAGGTTCCTAAAACATAAATTTATTTAACTCAAAGACTAAAATTTCTCCAGACAAATCTATGCATAAACTATTCAATATAATTACTAACAAATCAAAATTAAGCCATTTAAATTAATGGTTATTTAACTTACAAAAGATACCTTTGCAATGATCACTAACATCAGTACATTGGAATCAACATACTTTTCATATAGTATCCGTAAGCTACTAGAGACATTTTCTCATAAGAAGCTGACAATGCCAGTTATAATTTTAAGCACATTTATTGAAAAACAAAATTGACTGCCAAGAAAAATATCCCAGAAGTTTTAATTCTTTACGCTAAAATTTGCAGCAATAAGCATTCGTAAGGTTGACAGCATAATGATCATTTTATGGAACTAGACTAAATGATTAAATCCCCTATCCATCTTCCTTCAGGCTGTGTGACAACTCTCCTGATAGGATTTTCAAAACTCATTATAAATCTCTCAAATGTTTAAATTTTATATTTGTACTTTTCCATTTTACAAAGTTCATACCATGATGTGTTGATATAGCTGCAGATCCTATTAGGCAATATCTTAATCAAAAAAAAATGTGAAAATCTTTTGAAACTATGGAAGGTTAGTTTATGGAAGTCAATAACGATCAAATAGAAAATAAGCGTTACGGTACTAAGTCATGGCAACAGGACATGATAGTGCGATTTCCTCCAGAGAAAAAAAACTCTTGTAATAATTGCTTTCTGGTACTACCTTTATAAAAATGAAGTTATACTGAACCTCTTTCAAAGTGCAGAGAAAAAACTTACTATTTGGCATAGGCACTTGTGCTCATTGACCAATTTTTCAAGAGACAGACATTCAATCACATCAGCTTCTCCTAAAGCCCCTTCCTTGTCTTGTTTATTTGCCAACCTAGAAAGACAAATAAGGTAGTTTTATAGCAAATATATAATCTGATGGCAACTTGAAGAAATTTTGACCATATTCTTCTATTCCCATGTTTAAATTCCCATTTAAATCTACAGATTATACAACACACTGGTTTTAAAAATTATTATACTATCAATTTTATCATTTTCCTTTAGTATTATTTTAAAAAGTTTGTAAGAACTGGTCTATACAAGGGAATCGGATAAAGAGAAGTGTCAAGAAAACAAGTAATAGATCAATAGGTCAACCAAAAAGCTACAAAACAGAAAAAGCAAACTGTTTTCCAGAACTCACGGCCATAAATTATGTCCTTGTCTTCTTAACATACAAACTTGTGTCATTTTACATGCCCAAATATTTATTCTGAGCTTGCAATATTTGAGCTCACCTACATTTCTAATATGTGACTATGTCCATATAGATGTGCAACCTACTGTAGACAGTAGCCACTTTTGATTTATTTTGACATAGCACTTAGCATAAAAAAAAAATTATACTCAATTAAAGACAAACTGAAGACCAAATACAGAAAAGCCAAAACAAAGACTAAGGAAAAACAGGAATTAGGCCAGGTGCAGTGAATCATGCCTGTAATCCTCACACTCTTGGAAGCTGAGGCTAGTAAATTGCTTGAGCTCATGAGTTTGAGACCTGCCTGAACAAGAGCAAGAACTCGTCTCTACTAAAAATGAAAAACAGAGCCAAGAGGATTGCTTGAGCCCAAGAGTTTGTTGCTGTGGGCTATGAAACCACAATACATACTCGACGAAGGGCGACAAAGTGAGACACCATCTCAAAAAAAAAAAAAAAACAGGAATCATCAATTTGCATATCATACGACATAGGTCAAAAAGTTTAGGAAAATACTGTCTTGATCAGGGTTTGATAGACTCTTAGGCAAAAATAGATAATTTTAAATACACAGAATAATCTAATTAGCCCCATCTATCTCTTATCTTTACAAATTATCAACAATGTGTGATTCTTGCTCATTTACGTACCTGCTACTTTTTCTGAGTCATATTACTTCACCTGGATATTAAAAGCATTACCATAATACCACTAGTATACCTAACAAAATAACAATGAGTCTTCAATATTACTCAATTCACTTAATATTCCCCAATATCATTTTGCAAATGCTATGTTCAACTTCAGATCCAAACCAGATATACATTGCATATAATTTATCACTTCTTTCTTTCTGAATCTGTGTTTATTTTGAGTACCTACCATTCTCCACCCCCAACATCACAACCCCTTTTCCTTCCATGATATTTGTGAAATAAAATATGTCATTTTTCTTTAGAATTTGGACAGTATCTTCTTCATAAACTCATTCAACACACATACCCTATATTTCCTATATCTGATAGATGTGGAGGCTGGATGAATTTCACACTGAAATCTTGTGACAAACATATTTCCTATGTGGTGCTGGTACCTAGAAGTAATATAAAATCGCTTTTATATAATATCCTATTTTAATGATATTAAAATTGACTAGTGAAGTTAGTTGGAGTCAGCGTGATCCATCCAAAATAAGTTCCTCATTAATCTTTCCCCTGATGATTTTGAGCAACCATCAATGACCTTCACTTTACTCCATTATTATATAAGAGTTTATGAAAGAATGACTCTTCTGTATTTCTTCTGCATTTACTAGCAAGATTTTTGCGCAAAAATATACTTTTATCAACTACTTGATGACTCTTAACAATTCATAGAGAAAAGTCAAGGTAAATGTTTCATCCTTTGCCTTTATTTACTAATTTTCCTCATAATTGTGTCCTAGAAACCTCCAAAAGTGATCAAGTTGCTTTGTTGTTTTGATTTGTCTTATTTTCAGGATCATCATTATGAACTCAGGGGTTTAAAAAATAAGATGTGTTTTCAATTTACTGTAGTTATTGTTCTTTTTGAGGCTCAAAGAGTAGTGGGAGTCCCCTTCAGATTCACATCTGCATTCTTTTGGTACAATTCCATAAATCTTTGATAGCTTCTTTGCTTTCTACTATGAAAAAAGGTTCCAGATCTAGAAGTATCTGCTTTCCTAAGGAGACCTGATCCTTTCAGAGGGAAATGGTATGTTAAGGACCACAATCTGGGCACTATGGATATACCTGGCCATTGACTTGTTCAGGTACAAAGCTAGGAAATAGTCTTTTTAGAAAGAAAAAACACTAAATTATGGGTCCATATTGATTTTTTCATTTCTAATCAAGTATTACCAAGTTTTGACTTAGCTTCCTTCTTCCTTCCTTTCTTTCTTTTTTTGAGACAGGGCTATAGTGTAGTGGTGTCCTCATAGCTCATTGCAACCTCAAACTCCTGAGCTGAAGCAATCCTCCTGCCTCAGCCTCCTGAGTAACTTGGAATACAAGTGCAGGCCACCAGGCCTAGCTAACTTTTTTATAGGGTCTGCTACTGTTCAGGCTGGTCTTAAACTCCTGAGCTCAAGCATTCTAAAAGTGCTAGGATTATAAGACTGAGCCCTGTCCCCTGCCTAAGATCTTATTTGTATCTCTTTTTACTTATCCTGAAAATAATAGTTCCTAATGACATTGACTACTTGCTTCGTCCAATTAGGTATAGAAGTTTCAACATAATCTCAACATTATTCTTAAATATAAGACTACTAAATGCAATTTAAGATTTCTTTGTGGTTTTCAGTCCTAAGCTAAATTCTACTTAGAGATGCATGAAGGAAACACTGAATTTTTTACTTAAAATAACACTTTTCCATACATTTATGCCACCACCAAGAAATATAGCTAGGTTCATTTGTTTCTAGGTGCTTCTGCTTTTGGGAGAGAGGTTTTTGAAGATTAAATTTCTAAGATATATACATGGTTCCAAACTCAAAACAATAAAAAAAGTTACAGTAAGAAAGAACTATTTGAAATCTCTGACCCTGTCTCTGTTCCTTCCCTTCTCCTATAGGTAACCATTTTCATTAGTATTTAGGTCATCCTCCCATTATTTCTTTTAGAAAATATAAACAAGTATATGGGAGAAATAGTCCTTTAAAGACCACAATTTGGGTATTAAGGATATTCACTGCTATTGACCGGTTTATGTATGTCTGTAGGTATACACATACAATATTTATATCCACCCTTCCTTTCTTCCTCAAAAGCTAGCACACTGGCTTGGCGCCTGTGGCTCAAGCGGCTAAGGTGCCAGCCACATACACCTGAGCAGGTTCAAATCCAACCCAGGGCCTGCCAAACAACAATGACAGCTGCAACCAAAAACTAGCCAGGCATTGTGGTGGGCATGTGTGGTCCCCGCTACTTGGGAGGCGAAGGGAGGAGACCTGCTTGAGCCCAGGAGTTGGACGTTGCTGTGAGCTGCGGTGCCATAGCACTCTACCAAGGGCGACAGCTTGAGGCTCTGTCTCAAAAAATAAATAAATACATACATACATACAAGCTGACATACTATATACACTCTTCTTCACTATCTCTTTTTTTAAAAATGAAGAGTAAATCCTGAAACTACCCTGAAGCAGTATAAAGAAATCACTATTTTCAATAGTTGCAGAATGCTCCATGGTATGATGTTCCATAATTTACTCAGCCAGTTTACACCAAAGGACTTTTGTGCTTCCAGTCTTTTGTTTTTACAAGGAGTACTGTGAGGAATACATGTGTGAAGGAGTCATTTGTTTTATCATGAGAACAGATTCCAGGAAGTGGGACTATTAAATCAAAGAATAAATATAAATGTTATAGATATTATAGCAAAGTCTTTTCTCTTGCCCTCAAATAATAACTCACATGGAAAAGAAGGAAGTGATCAGGAATTTGACAGTATGAAAGGTTTTCATTTCTAATTTTTCCTATAAATATTTCCCTTTGGTTAAAAAATAATTTTCAATTGTTAAATTAACATAATAAATAGATAATTTAACAGGTTGCTTTAAAACTTAGTTCTATATAGAAAACTATGGAAGAAACTTATTTTAAAATAAAGATAGCAAGAAAAGTAGGGTGGAAAATTTAAAGACAGGAGCTCTTTTCTGATTGTTCTACTTATGAAATTCCATAATTTTATGAGCTAAGCTCTTAGGAGATTTCCTAAAATAGGACAAAGTTCAATCATTTTAAAGTAAATGGAACAAAAGCTTTTATACCAAGCTTCTTTCCATTCTGGTTTATTCCTATTTAATTCTGTGCTTTTAGCAAGCTTTATTCCTATAGAAAAGAGAGTAATCTTTGTTTAAATATAAACTCATTTTTTCAAGTAATGTATTTCACACTTAATGTAGGACTGGATGTGCAGAGCCTGTGCAAATATTCTACGTAGGCAGTTTTAACAATGACTTCCTGCTACCAGCCAGCTCCAATGAAAATGATCTTCCTTTAATCTAAAGAACAGGCATATAACTGGCAGAACCGGATTCTCCAGGTGTCAAGTAAGCAATCTGTTCTCATTTGCTATTAACAGCAAAAGCACAGCTTTATCTCTTAACTTATTTGACTTCATTATTTGGCTTTCAATTAAGAATGTGAAAACCATACAGAAATTAGCTTATGACTTATAAGATATGTAAGTAATTTAATGAAAACATTACATGAGATGATATTCAGATTTTCTTGCAAGACAGGACTCCAACACCACAGGTGAAAAAGCAACAGAAGGAACAAGACAAAAAGGTAAATAAACCACTCTTTTTTATACTTTTTAATGTGAAATAACCATAGACTGAAATCTGCTCACATTGTGGCATTTAAATATAGCTTAACAAACAATGAAAGTTACGTGCTTTGCTCAGATTTGGACTGGGCAGCCGATCTGTTCTTATACTACTGATATACTAACTGGGATTTGGGTGTAAAATTCTTGAAAATAGACTTCACAAAAACCAACTTTAAAGAAAATAAATTTTTTCCAAGTTCTTTAAAAAAAAGTAACTTCTCATTTTGTAAACCCTAGAAAGTCAGATCTTCTAAAAATAAACTTAAGATTCTCTTTTTTATAGACAAAACTATGAATTAACCATCCTGTGCTTACTGTAGATAACACTTTTACATTTAACTCTGAAAAGAAGATTACAACCAAATTTGGCACATATGCAACCTTTAAAGTTCAGATAATTTTTTATATGATCTTAACTAATTGCTTCATTGTTATTTCTTATAATCTTTTAAAATTAATTTGAGGAAATTAGGAAATAACCTTGTTATAAAAGAATTAAAATATTCAGTCATCTTTTTAATGTTTCCACTAGTATATTAAAATATCAAAGTGCTCAATGATCGTTTTAATGTTTCAGCTAGTATTTTTAAAATATTTAAATAATATGATTTGGCATAAACATTACATGGATGTGATAGTTGGAAAATTTTAAGGCAACATTAGATGGGGCAAATACTTCAAAGACCATGTTAGAATTTAACAAATAATCCATCTCAAATCAAACAATGACTCAGAAGTGTTTTGAGGGGTATACTTGAGAATTGGCTATATTAACCCCTAGAACACATTATTTTTACAGCTATGTAGTTTTAAATTTAATATACAAATCATTTTATGCATGTACAGTTTATTTGACTAATTAAAAATTCAAAAATTACACATCTTATATTTACCCAAAATGATGTTAATATTGTTAAATTAAACAAGTTTAGTATCTTCTTTATACTAAAAGTAGAAAGCATTGAGATTACATTAAAAAACGTTAGAGAATTCAAAAGCAGAAAATATATGCAATCTGTAATAATTTTTTATTGTGTTTTTAGAAACCACTATTTTGCCCTCATTTATGTAGCCAAAAAGGTTCATGTTACATCAAGATGCTCTTTTTTTGACTAAGTTAGGGAAATGTTATAAGTTGGCTTCACATATAAAAAAAAAAAGAATATTACATTTTGGGTAAAACCTGGTTTCATTTCTTGAAATATTTCATTTAATCAATATAGTAAGTATAGAAAAATAGCTTACTTGAAAACATCTGTACATAAACTAGGTAATTTTTATTCATGTTCCTGTTTCTAGGAATTTTGAGTCTGTAAAAGAATATTTTATTTGAGTCACCCAAGTTTACTTTTCTATTTCCCAGAACAAATGTCAAAGTTGATTATAATATGTACAAATTAATGTTCTAACTTTCTTTTTTCAAATATCATATTTAAGCTTAAAGACACTGTTAATTATTGCTAGTGAAATTCAAAACTATATAGCAATACTGTAAGCTAAACATGATGAAAGATAATTCTTACTTGTATAAACTCTTCTAGCATTAAGAAAACAAATCTAAGGTTAAAAAAAATTACATGAAATAGTGATCTTATCAACTTCACCTAGCCTAAGCAATTTAATGATTTTACAACTACGCACGTCACATTTTATGCCTACGTGAACTGTTTCTTCCAACTTTTAAATTCTAATGTGCTAAGATGTCTCTCTTTATCTAATATTCTAATTTCTGATTATGTAAGATCAATAAGTTAAACTGGAAAGTTACATATACAGTTATGAGTATACAACTACTAGAAAATGCAATTTACATACAGCATGTATCTGAGTAGCTACATTTAAGCCAATATCTGCACAGATGAACAAGGAGTTGGGGGAATATTGTGAATCATGTTAACTCTGCAAAGATAATCAACTTTGTATGATGGTTAGAAATAGAAATTGCTCACTATTGTGCTAAACATACATAAATGTATAATATACTTTTAAGTTTAAAAAATTAAACTACATCATTCAAATTTAAAGTAAAAAAGGGAAATTTTCAGGTGCCAAAAAGGAAGAGGGAACAAACTTATAGCTTATGTAACAAGAAATAATTAAAGCTACCTCCACTATGCTACTAGAAGCAATATTTTACCTTCAAAGCTAAGGTTTACAATTTGTGCATTATCAGGAACTAAAACTTAGTTTCTTAAATGAAGTAGTGAGCCTAGGAAGAACAGAACGTAATCTGTATACAAAGTCAGGAGTATCTCTGTTGACTTGCTCAGAATTACAGCAGGAAGTGAGGTATCTATTCAGGCTATAAAAATCACTGGAGAAAAACGAGGCCTATAGTTACACTGCCTGGGCTACAGAAGGCAAACTCCACAGGACCTGATTAGTAACCACCACAAAAATAGCCCTATGATATATCCATAATTTATCAGCACACTCAGAGAATTCCTGTATAATTCCCTACTGCAGATAAACTACTGATAAAGTTCACCAAATATACCTGCCCACCTCCAAGAGAGTGGCCACCAGTGAGTAGCTATAGTGAATAAAGGCATTTCATTCCTGGGAAACTAGAAATAATCTAATAATGTAAAGTGTCTTTAATATCAATAGACTCAAAATATTCAAAGGAAATAAATGAAGATACGGGATCCATAAACCAAGGTGAACACAGTATAAACTTTATAATTGACTTAAAACATCATTTATATCATATGAATGCCATGATATATAACACTGAAAGGGAACCCTATTATATTTCCATGCTTTTCATTTAATATCAAAAACATACAGAAGTTTGTTTTTTTTTTTAGAGACAGAATCTTACTTTGTTACCCTCAGTAGAATGCTGTGGCATCACAGCTCACAGCAACCTCCAGCTCTTGGTCTTAGGCAATTCTCTTGCCTCAGCCTCCTGAATAGCTGGGACCACAGGTGCCTGCCACAACACCCCACTATTTTTTGTTGCAATTTGGCCAGGGCCAGGTCTGAACCCACCATCCTCGGTATATGGGGCTAGCACCCTAGTCACTGAGCCACAGTTGCCGCCCCAACATACAGAATTTTTTCAAGTGGAATATTTACTTGCTTTTGCTAAGATTAGTGAAAATACATGTTAATCTATTTTAAAGAGTTTCTTAAAGTATCTTTTATTCAAATATAAAAGTTTAGTACTCCTTCAGGGAAACATCTTCCAAGGACAAAAATGAAAAGACAAACCTAATAGGTGTCAGAGTCAAATATCTTGGCTTCTAAAGTAAGTGCAATAAAATTTACCTCCCCAAAGGTAAATACTTTAAGATATACTGTATTTAAGTATCAATTTAAAATATTCTATTTCTTTTTTTTTTTTTCTTTTTGGCCAGGGCTGGGTTTGAACCCGCCACCTCTGGCATATAGGGCTGGTGCCCTACTTTTTTGAGCCACAGGCGCCACCTAAAATATTCTATTTCTTAAAAAAAAATTTTAATGACATCTTAAAATTTTAAAACATCTATGATGTTTCAGTAAAAGGCTTTCAGTGGCACTGATAATTTGTTTCTAATTTTTAAAAAGAAAGATCTATCCAGTCACAAAAATGTTAGAGGGAGTTGTTTTAGATTTATTCCAAACATGCATCCAAAGAAAAGGTTCAAGACATTGTAGTTCTGAGAAATGCAAAATTCAAGGATTGTTAAAAGTGCCTTGGCCATTATATAGATATGACTTGGTTCTCAAGAATTCAAAATCAAAATCTGTTTTGTTTCATAGTGGGTTCTTCTCTCTCTCTTCCTCTGCTAAACTTTTAACAGTTACTCTTTCCCTTTCCTCGTAATATCAGAAGCACAGGTAGGTTAAAAAAAAAGTACATCTTGTTTAAATATTGTAGCTATAAGAATTCATAGAGACAAACTAGTGTAAGAGTAGGAAACAGAACTCAATGTACGTAAATAGGAATGAAGGGTAACTAATTTCCTATCTATCCTATTCCAGATTATGACTCTGACCTGAAGCAGAAGAAAATATAAGAATCCCAATCTCTACATGATGCCAATGGTAGGATTTAAAATTTTTTTAGAAACTTTCTGTGATACATTTCTATGGCATCGAAACTAATTCTTTTTCTTCTATGTTTGTAAAGTGATCAATTTGGTCTGATTATATAAAGATGCTAATAAAGTTGTTGCAAACGAGAGAATAATATCTGATATGATGTATTATCTCCTGCTAAATTCTTTTCGCTTAAATAAGCATAGTATTTATATTGCTAACATAAATGACATTTGTTACAGACCAACTTCATTTATAGTATATTTCGCTGGGATGATCTATTTCTGGAGTAGGGGAAGAGAACAGATTTAGAATCAGGTAGATAGAGATCTAAACGTAGGCTCTGCCATTTTTCAGTTGTGTGGCTTCTGGCAAGTCACTTTGAAGTTGGCTTTCTTAGACTGGAATGTTCCTTTAATGTTTCTTAGCATATGAAAGGTAAAGAAAATTGAGAAGATACAGTTCTTAAAGAAAGTATACCAAAACCCCAAACCCCTAAGTACCTAAACACATGAGTTTCCAAAATGAAAAGTCTCAGTACATGTTTAGAAAATAAATACCAAAGAATCCCCTCAGGTCACATTATTGTGAAATTTCAGAATACCAAGAATAAAGAAAAAAGGGCAAGAACTTCATGAAAGGAAATACAAAAACAGGTTTTATGCAAAATATCAGGAATCAGATGACAGATTTCTCAAGGGCAACAAAGCTAGAAGACAAAATAGCAGAACTTCCAAAATTTTAATTTCCAAGTGAGAATTAAATCCACAGGAAATATATTATTCATGTATAGGGACAGACCAACAAGATTCTCAGTAATGCAGGTATTATCACATCTGCATTTTGAAAGGAAAGCTATGGTATACCTCCAAGTCAGAGGACAAACCAACAAAGATGAGGAGGGGAATAAAATCAGAATATAAAAGAAAGG